AAACTGTACATGTATTTTCGTAAATCTATGTATTGCACTCCCGCCGTGAATCGGCGTAAATTTAACATTCTCTCCCTCGGTACTGTGGCGAAACGTACTGAGCTGGAGAAGGCGATGGCTGCACGCCTATGTGATGTGGACTGTATAGCCACAGTGGGCGACCTGTGGCACCACATTCGCGACCAGGTGACAGCTGCTGCGGAGGAGACCATCGGGCGCGCAAACTGTAAGCGGCCTGATTGGTTTGATGACAACAATGTGACGATTGACGCATTGGTGTCAGAGAAGAATGCAACATTTGCTGCACATGTTGCAGACCCCAGTGACTTGGGGAAGAGTAGACAGTTTCGCAAACTTCGACGGCGACTGACCCGAGAGCTCCGTCGCATTAAAAATGCATGGTGGACGGAGAAGGCGAAGCAGATGGAATGCTACGCCGAACGCCGTCAACACAAGGAATTCTTTGACTCCTTGAAGGCGGTGTATGGACCGAGATTGGAGCCGCTGAGGACGCTGATCGATGGTAGTTCAGGCGCTACCTGCACACGGACTGCAGACATAATGCAGGTCTGGCGGAAACACTTTGACTGTCTCTTGAACAACCGTTCAGAGATCGACTGGCCTACATTGAATGGCCTGAAGCAGCACGATGTGAAGGCGGATCTGGCGGATACGCCGAGACTGGATGAGACGCAGAGATAACTTGCTCAGCTGCGAAACGGCAAATGTGCCGGAGGTGACGGGATCCCGCCTGAAGTATTGAAAGACGACGGACCCGCGTTGTTGACTGTGCTGCACCACTTGGTGCAACGCGTGTGGATTGAGGAGGAGGTGCCTGCTGAGCTGAAGGATGCCCTTGTGCTACCACTGTACAAGGGCAAAGGTAGCAAGCAATGTTGCACGAATTATCGTGGCATCAACTTGCTGAGTTGTGTGGGTAAGGTGATTGCCCGAATCCTGCTCAATCGCCTCGTGAATCAGGTTGTGGAACCTAACGTGGCGGAAGAGAAATGTGGATTCCGTTCGGGTCGCAGCACTATAGATATGGTGTTTGCGGTTCATCAGCAGCAAGAGAAGTCCAGAGAACGACACCAGCCATTGTACTAGCTTTTTGTTGATTTCACCAAAGCATTTGATACGGTGAACCGCGGGGCATTGTGGCTGGTGTTGGGTAAGTTTGGTTGCCCGCGTAAGTTTGTAAGTTTAATTGAATGTCTGCACAGTGGTATGCGAGCGAGGGTGCAGCTGAGTGGAGAGACCTCGGACGACTTTGCAGTTGTCTCTGGTGTGAAGCAAGGCTGTGTCTTAGCTCCTGCCCTGTTTAATATATATCTTCATGCAATGTTGTCCTGTGCTTTTGATGCCGCTTGTGCTTAAGGTGCTCGTGTGGAGCACCGTATTGATGGTGGGTTGCTGAACATTTGTCGTTTCGGTGCGAGAACTCTAGTCTGTGAGACAACTATCCATATGTTGCTGTTTGCTGACGACTGTGCGTTGTTTTCACACAGCGCGGATGAGTTGCAGCACATGACTAGTGCTCTGGCTTCGACAGCGGCCAAATTCGGGCTCACCATCAACACAAGCAAAACTGTCTGTCTCTTTCAGCCTTCATCGGAGGTGCAATCTTCAATATTGCCGCGAATCAGCATTGGTGCTGAAGTATTGGAAACCACCTCCCGCTTCTGCTACCTTGGGAGTGTGATGTCGACTGAGCAGCAGCTACACCTTGAGTTGCGTAATCGCGTTTCGAAGGCAGCAGCGGCATTCGGGAAGCTTGAGTACCGAGTGTGGAACAACCATCAGCTTAGCATTGGCACGAAGCTGATGGTGTACAAATCCATGGTATTGTCCGTTCTTCTATACGGCAGTGAAACGTGGACGATGTACCGGCGGGATGTGCGATATCTCGAGCGGTTCCATCAGCAGTGTCTGCGACGAATTCTGCGGATCGGCTGGGGCACCAGAGTTGCAGACACGGAAGTGTTGCGCCGAAGTGGGATGTATGCAGTGGACTGCATACTTTTACTGCGACACCTGAGATGGCTCGGTCATGTGAGCCGTATGGATTCGACGCGAATACCGAAACAACTCTTATACGGTCAGCTGAGTATTGGGAAGCGGCATGCTGGGAAACCCAAGTTACGTTACCAGGACATGATTAAAGTGAGCCTCACACGTTCTAATCTTGATTGCAGGTCATGGGAATCGAAAGCGTTTGATCAGCGTGCATGGCGCGATCTAATCAAGAAGGCAGTTGCCGAAGGGCGGGAGAAAGCCCTCATGCATGCAGAGAAGAAGCGGCAAGTGCGGAAGCGGCAAACACCGATGAATTGTACTCCATCGACATCGAGCGCATTGTGTTGTAGAACATGCGGTCGCGAGTGCCTTAGTCAGGCAGGCCTAGTGAGCCATGAGAGAGGTCACTCGGGACCACTGCCGAAGCGACGACGGGTCCCGCAGTGAACGTAGGCAGCACCGGCGCAGCGTTTGTAGGCACGCTGAATTCGATTTACTAACCGTGTGCTTGCATGCTAAGTCTCTTTATTTCAGGTGGTGGGTTTTCGGTTCTCTCCTAATGCCTTTCTTTCTCATATAAATGTCTAGTGGGCGATGAGCTGTGCCATTTGGGGCCACTACAGAAGCGACCATGGGTCCTGCAGAGAATTACGACGAGCCGGCGCAGCGTTTGTAGGCACGCTGAATTCGATTTACTAACCGCTTGCTAACATGCTAAGTCTCTTTATTTCAGGTGGTGGGTTTACAATTTTTTACCTTAATACGTTTCTTTCTCATATAAATATCTCCCTGTACTCCATCCCATTAACTTGCACACATAGCTTCAGCCAATTGTATTCGATTTCCATAACATTTTTGTGTTCGTGGCATTCCGTGAACTATATTTCCTGACCTCGTGCACTTAGCTAGGATTTGTTTGTAAACAACTTATTACGTATGATATTTACTTAAGGTTTATGTCACCGTTTCCTTGTGCATTAATCCAGTTTTTCTCTTTTTCTTTCTCTCTCAAGTGTTTGGCTGTTGTTTGATATCCTTGGTGTGGCTGCGCTTGATGTGCATGTTGACAAGGTGCCTACCTGTCTATTTCCCACTACATCGTTCATACTGGCTCCAGGAGACAGTTGGTCGTTGCTGGAGGGGACGGGGTGCACGGTTCTTGTTGCCGTGTTAGGCTCGAAGAGTGGTTCCATGCACTCAGTGTGGAGCGGACTACGGTCCAGCCACCGCCTTGTGTACGCTTGATTCCCCAAATACAGCGTGCTTGTGTTTGCCTGTGAAGGAGTGTGGGCCGGCTCCGTTGATGAAACGTGGTTCCCATCCGCATGCCTCCCGGTCTTATTCCTTCGGGTTTACACTGGATATGGGGTATGTGGTTGGAGCTGTGGGTGGTGCAGCGCAAGCCATCCATGGTCCCTCTGTAGGCGCAGGCGTCCTGTGGCTGGCCACAGTGACAGGCAAATCCGAAACCGGATGCCGCCAACCATATATATATATATATATATATATATATATATATATATATATATATATATATATATATATATATATATATATATATATATATATATGACAGGGATGAGTACACTGGGGAGAAGCAGTCATACGATTGAAGCAGACAGAATAAACGGGCGAAACCCCGAGGCAGAGGAAACCGTACGTCGACCGACGTACCCACAGGAACTTCTCAAAACGAGGATGGCGTTTCGCAATTCACACACGTGGTTACTATGATAAACAGAACTAAAATCTCTCAGGGCTGCCTCAGAGAAAGAGGAATCGAGAGCTGACGTCTCCGTCAAGACGCCTATAGGTTTGCTGTACAGAGATACAGTCGGATACCCTGTAGTGAGATGAACTTAACAGTATTAAAGCCAGGACGAGAGCATGCTGAATATGCCCAAGAATGAGATAAGCGGATGGACTGAATAAGCACAAGGTGGACTGCAACAAGGCTTGATAGGTCAGCTACACATACGTAGTGCACGTTGTACTTCGCAAAGAAACTGACTGTTACATGGTTGAGAATCAATGCCGAAATAGACTTCTGGAAAAGCAAGTGAAAACAAAAACAACTACCGACGAAAAACTTAGACAAGAGACAGAACCAAGAGTGATTCGGCAGCGAATGAAGAACATCACGTGACGGCTTGATTAGAGCAAATATTTCGTAAGTTTGACCGACGGCTTCAAAAAGCAGGATGATCTACACAAAACATCAGCAGTACGCCGGCATATCGTATCGAGGCTTCGTTGCCACATGATTATCACCGGAACGTGTGGGCCGGACATTCCACGAGGTTGCCTGCACCTACACGGATGCGAATTGGTGACTGCCAGATTGCAAATAGGCGTGCAATCCTTTCGGGCACTAGCCAACATAACAGAACAACTGGACCCCACTGTCCCATTAAACCAATGAGATGCAACAGGTGTGACATATACAAGGGGATTTAAAGCCTGCAAGGCAGGATCGACAGGTGACCTCAGTTGTACCTTTTCCGGCACATATTAGCCGGCTCGAGGCCGCTGTGTTTGACAGCACATGCGATGACGTCACACAACGAAGTGCAAAGTGAAAAACAGAGGCTGCCATACTGATGTATCGCAGGACAGGTTTTAATACGATGAAACATAGTTGCGAAGAACAGATTGCTAGATGCTCTCGACGTGATGCGAACAATTGAACCTGAAGGTCGCCATTTTTCATAGCTCCTGGCAATGAAACAGTGTGGCCGAATAAAAGCAGCAACCGGTGACCTAGTAGCATACTCACGCCGTCATTCGGTGGAAGGGAAAGGATCCAATGTTATCGCCTGCAGGTTCGTGCAGCGTAATACAAAACCGAACCCAAATGCTGATAGGCCTAGTCGTTGCATTAAAATAATGATATCAAGAACAGTAACAAAGGAAAATAAATGACAACAATCCGGTCATTTACGCAACGCCCGGTGCCCATTCAGCTGGAATAGCAATACACTTACTTCCTTACAAATGGCTGCAATGTGGCCCTCCTCCATACAAGTTTCCATTACAACGTCAGTGAGTGGGCCGCCGTCCAGATATTCCATCACCACCCACAGTTCCTCGCCACCAGCGGGATTTGTCTGGGTGGGAACGGTTGAATCAGTTGTTGGTAGTTGTCGGTTGATAGCAGTCGGGACCAGATAGCTATCTAGATAGTTGACAATGTTGGCCTGACGATTTGACTTCATCACCAAGATTTCATTAATGATTAATTCTTTCTTCGGCTGCTGGGACAAATTCATCTGTTTTATGGCAACCAGTTGTCTGGTGAAAATGTCGTAACCACTGTAGACAACACCGGATGCACTGAAGGGTAACACGAAGACAACAGAAATGTGAACAGAATACCGGAACGAGTAAATAGGGACATACAAAGGGGCTAGGCGCACTCCAGTTGGGGGATACACAGTCATTTACACTGAAAGTAAAAGCGCTTAAAATGCTGATAGAACGGTGAGCGTCCAGTCGAAAATGGCACCCATGCATTGTTTTGCTACAGCAACCAGTCCGAATGGATGAGGTTGAAGGAAAATGACCGTGAAGGATGTGGATGGAAACGATAAACGGTGGGAGTTTATAAACATTACGATGTTATTGAGCCAAACTTTTTCGCAGTGCGGATGGATATTCAGAAGTTGCGATGGAACATTTAAGCTGATCATTTCAGTGAGGAAACTTTGAATGGGACGAGAAACAACCATACAATGAAAAATTTCCTAATGGGTCTGAGATGCGTCGCCGTTTTCAGCACCAAAAGTTGCACGTAGTGAAAGCCACGAAACGTAATTCGCAAAAAGAAGTCGCGATTAAGAGAAATCAAGCGAACAGTTAGATCAGTGACATCGAGTTTCGAAGCTCGTCTGCCACGGGAAATGAGAACAGCCACCAGACTACTGCGTCTACAAGGAGACTTTGGGTGGCTCAGGCTGCCAGTCCATATTCAATGTAAACCAAAAGTATAAGCATGAGTAGCATGTTGATGGGAATGACGGTTGATATAGGGTAGGCTGACATTCTTCCTACAGTAAGCATCAGCAATACGCCGGTACGCAGTACCGACGCCTCGTTGCCGCGTAACCATCACCGGTCGCAGGTAGGCTAAAAATACAACGAGGGTCGCCTGGCCCCTACACAAGCACGAATAAGCGCCCTCAGATCACAAGGCAGGCTTGGGACCCTTAAGACTACGGGCCGGACATTCCTCTTATACGGACCGTGTTGAGTTGAAACAAGGGGGTACAGTGGGCTGCACCTACCTCGTAGCACGTTCAACGATGAAACTGATCGAAAAGCAGAGAATTGTTGAGAAGATGCTCTCCAGTTATATCCGCAGCGATTGACAGTCGCATAAAATCAGCCGCTGAAGTAGACGTACAAGAGTGGGATTTAATTGTCGGATTTTGAAACAGCAGTCGTGTGTTTGCATTGCGATGATAGTGGCCTCGAAAAGCACGGAAAGAAGATGAAGGCTGGTAGATGCATGCATTTCGTATCGTCTCCTCAGTACCATTAACAATAACCGATAAGCATAGATATAGTTAACAGTGGGTGCAACCAGACAAGCTTAAGGTGTAGCACGAATGACGGAGGTTCACACCTACGTCCAAGGCAGCTTTAGGCTGACAAATAATTGTTTCTGAACACACAAGGCTGGCTTAATCCGGCTTATAGCGACAGCCTCAGCAAACCCAAGGAAGCGGGGATTAGTGTGAGGTAACACAACTTTAAACGCTGAGCCCAGTTCTATCCAGTGACCCGAGTCTAATAAGTGTTTGCCTATCGAGGAAGCCGGCGGTCTGCGCGAAAATGGAATCTGACGAGGGTAGGCAATTTGAGCAACTTCAAGCTGAACCCATCTTGGTACATGCTCCTCTATTCGGGAAGTCAGCGTTCTATCAGTTCTGCCTACGTAACTGTTTCCGCAGTCACATACAAATTGATATACACAGTGTGAGTTGGCCCCAATAGGCTTAGCTTCCTTCGTTAGAGGTATGAGCAAATTTCGGGTTCGGTTGATGACGACAACTTGTGCAGCATAGTAACTTCCTTGGGTAGCCGAAATTACATCCTTAGTTGTCTTCAGCGTGGCTAAATCAACTTTGGAAGGTAACTCGATATACACTTTCTTCCTGGTCGCCGTGTGCATCAAGTCCTTTGGCCCTCGCGGTTGGCTGTGTTTCTCGATAAATCTTCGAGGCTAGCCGTTCGCCATTAGTGTTGCTGTGATTAACACTAGCTCATCGTCGAGACAGTCGGCCGAACAAATTCCTCTGGCACGACTAACTAGAGTCTTCACAAGTGTCCGTTTGTACCGCACTGGTGTGAAGCTGGTGAAGTGCAGGTATTGACCAGACCAAGTTGATTTTCGGTAAATGGACCTTTTAATCAATCCATCATCCTTGCGACTTATGAGTAGGTCTAGGTATGGCAGACAATTATTCTGTTCTATTTCGCATGTAACCCGTAAGTTAGCATGAGCACCATTGAGCCATTCTACAAAACGGGTGAGCTGCTACTCCGACGAACAGAAAGCCAAGATATCGTCGACATATCGTTTGTAGTACGGCACCTGGCGCAGAAATGGGTCCTTGTCATATTGGAGGACTCTGCATTTCGAAAATGCAAAGCATAGCCCGAGACGACTGATAGCCAATGCTAATTTGTCCAGTGCTACTTGACACACGTGGGGGCTCTCACAGATAGGGGTAATGTCATCGGCAGATTAAGTCAAAAAGCCGTTCACCTGGGAACAGATCCACGCCTTGCAGGTCGTGTTTAGTGAACGCAGTTTCCATGACTTCGTTAATGGAGAAGTTAAAAGGGAAAGGTGACAGCGGGCACTCTTGTCTCACGCCGCTGGAGATACTGAAGGGCAGCGAGTTTGCCGTAAGCCCGCACTCTGCCCGAAATATGCGCGTACAGCGCTCTTATGACGTACATTTTTGAGGCACACATTTCCTGAGTAGACAGTCCCAAAGAGCACATCGATCAACCGAAGCGAAGGCATCTTTGATGTCGAGGAACACAACTACGGTGACTCGTCAATAAATATGGTGGTGCGCTAACAATTGACGTAATGTGAAGAGGTGGTCAATAGAGCTGGACTGTGACGAAACCCGGCTTACTCCTCGCGAATCAGGCTTTCAAGTGTGCCAGCAAGTCTTTGAAGAATGACAGAGGCGAGTATCTTAGAGGCAACTGAGCTCAGACTGATCTCTCTATGATTGCCGCACTTAGGAGGTGAGCTCCTTTGAAAATTGGGACTGTTATCGAACGGCTCCAGTTTGATAGAACAGTTTCCTGCTCCCATAGCTTTACAAGCAAGTTGTGCAGATCACCTACAAGAGCAGGTTGGCAGAATATGAAGAGAGCTGGAGGGAATCTATCCACTCTTGAGGCATTATTTACTTTCAACAATCTGATCTTACGTTCGACTTCGGCGCGTAAAGGCGGGTCCATGAGGAAGGAAGATAAATGGCCGAATGAGAAGCTGGTAACTCTAGTTGATTAAGCTGGTTTTCAAAATGTTCGGATCAACGCTCCAAGCGTTTTGACAAACTAAGAGTCGGCCGTCCACTCTCGGTCTCGCTAACACCAGGTCTCCTTCTGCTTGCTTCGCGTATCAAACGGAATAACTTCCGATGGTTAGCAAGAGCAGCGGCCATTTCCATCTCCGATCCATGATGAGACCACGTTTCGCGGTCTCTCTTCAGGCTAGCACGCAGTTTTGCCCTGAGATATTTGCGAGTTTCGTTATGTTCGCTCCCAGCTGGAATGTGTCGGCGAGCATCGGGAAGTTCGGAAACTGCATAGAGACTCAATGTCCAGCTTGGCAATTTTATCTGCCATATGAATACATGCCTGCTGCTGGTGAGTATGCGATCAGTGGCCCTCTACAAATGGCATGTCAATGAAATGAGAATCAGCCGAGAATGACCACAATAGATCAATTAGCACCAAATGCATTCACAACACCAAGGAATGTGTGATAAAAAAGGAAAAAGCAGGGAATGTTAGCTAGCTTACCCCTGTCCAACCTTTTCCACTAATCGATATTTGTCGTATGGACTTCCTCTTGACACGATGGTCTTCAAACGGTCGTGCACTTGCTGGTCCGTCAGGCGGTGGGACCCATTCCGTCGACGAGGTGCAGAGGCAGGTGTTTTTTGGTTCAGCTTTCCACTCGTTTCAAAGGTCTCCCTAAGTACGGGGATTGTGGAGGGAGGAGTCGAAGTTTGATGAAAAGGCTCACTCAGCTGAGAGGAAGAAACGATAGTGGGAGGCACGGAAACGGGTGTTTGGGAAGGTGGCGGTGTTTCCGAACGTCCTTTTGGGAACGCAGATTGTTGGAGCGATCGAAGAGATTGGGCCAGAGAATGTGGTTTGGCAGGAACAGGAGGTGGTTGTGTGACAGCGGGTTTGCTTGGGGCAGAAAAGGCGGCTTCTGAAGCTGGGACAGGACGACCTAGTCGAGTAAATCAAATAAGAACGTTTTATGACAGACAGTGGTTTGGAGGCAGAAGATAACTGAAAGTCTAGGCTAATAATTATGACGAGGACACGGAAGTGAGTGGACTAGACTATCGGCTGTTGTGGGGTAAAAGAGCGAAGGTAATAGACGGCAAAATAAACAATAAAGAACAAAAGAGAAAGCTAGGTGGAAGTTGAGAACTAATTGAATCTTCGAATCGAAGTGCTGACAATCGGAGGTAAGGGTGAACGGATACGATAGCGTTGATTGTTTCGTACACAATCAAATCCAGAGCCACCTACCCACAATTGCACTCGCTAACTCCGGTTTTTCCGTCGGGCACACTTCAAGCCTTCTGGGCCCAGTATCAATCGATCAGCAGGAAAAGTACACACTGACGTAAAATGCTGGTGATTCAAGTTCTAAATGCATCCCAGTGAACGACAAAAGTCTGGAACACATAGGTATTATTTGCTAAATACGATTCGTGTAAACCAAAAACGAGTTCAGACCGATTTGCTACAGAGCAGCGACAGGTTAATTCCGACGCTTTGTTTATGACGAAGCGAGGTGGGTCGTAAGCATCGAGAAGCAATCACCATCTTTGCGATTCGGAAAACCAAGTTGGACAAGGGTCACTGAGCAACGTTAATCGCTTAGGGGAGAATTATTTGCATTCGGAAACCGCCAATTTAAGAGATATGCGTCGGCTTTGCAAATGCAACAACCTCTTACTGGGCCGCGGCACTTGACAACTGCGTGTTGGTGAGCAACGCCCATGTGTCTGACATTCAAGTTCCTTTTGGATCAAAGCAGATGTGGAGCCGACGGACGGAACCCATAAGAATCGCGTAGAAAAGAGGCTGCGGTCGCACGAGACCCTTAAAATAGTGCCGAAAAACAATCGAAGCAGTTTAGTTCAAAAATAGACATAGAAAACTCAAGAGAAGCAACAGGTTCGAAGGATGTGCTAAATCCTTAGAAGCACCCAAACAAACTGCTCGGAAATAAGGTTGAATTTCAAGCGTCAGAGTGCAGCGTCAATTCGTAAATCTGAACAACACTGCTTCAATACATGATTCCAAACGAATGGGGCAGAGAATCAACTGGAGCAAGATACAACGCAGACGGTTAATTACCGGTGGGGCCAGGTAAGTAAGTAGAGAATTATGAAAAGACCCGGTTAGTCATACTGATGGTTCGAAAGCAAACTGTAACGGCAGGTGCTACAGATGACGCGCTATTCAGTTTCATCAAAACCTAACGGCGGTGTCAGGATGCCGGCCGAAAGTGGCTGAGTAAGTACCAGATAGCCGACTAAATGTGCCAACGTCAACGCGAATTACGCACTGCTTCCGATGTGACTCAGAATCAATCAAGACAAAGATGGAAAACCATGGATTTCGCAATTATTACTACTGGTGCTAGTTTCGCTGCTACTCGTGCTTCTCCATCACATGCCAACTTTTCTCTTGTTGATAATCTACAACCCGTTGAATCTACTTACAATGCCCGTCTTGCTGAGATCCAAATCATCCGGCCATCAGCTAGCCTTCGACCCCGTACTTCATTCCGTCTGGCAAGGTTCAATCGTCGGATCTTCCTACAGATTGCACAACATGCTGGCCTGGCGCGCACTCTAGAGTCCCTCGCCATCCATGTTTGTTGCCTTTCAGAGACTCGATTGCAGGATCCCAGCATCGTGATTAAGTTGTCGTCCATAGCTTCTCTTGAGACCACATCATACTTATGTCTGTCTAATGACATGGAGGCAGCAGCAACCGGCTTAGCTGGTGTCGGCATCGCATTGAGTGACAAAGCGGAAGCTGCATTACTCGACTGGTTTCTAATGGACAGCCGGCTGTGTGCAGTTCGGCTTCAAGGCTCATGTAGAATCAACAGACATCGTGAAGAGAGGCGCAACTGATTTGTCGTTTCTGCCTACCCTCCAACCGACTGCAGCTGTGCATCGGTTAATAATGACTTTTCTCGTGGTCTCCACAACCTTTTGAACAAGGCCGAAAAGTCAGATGTCATCGTCCTTGCCGGAGATCTCAATGCACGAGTAGGCCGCCTGCTTCCGTGCGAACGTCGTCTTGGTAGTAGTCACGCGCTTGATGAGAGCCGTTCTGACAACGGTGATAAAGTACGTGCGTTATGCGAAGACCACCGTCTCTCTCACAAGTACGAACTTTAGGTATACCAGAAGACGCGCAGCCACCTGGCGTCCCCCTTCACCAACGCTAGCGTGGTCATAAATAGATCACATTGCAGTCAACTTTGGATGGCGAGGCAACGTCCGGGGTTGTAGATTGATTTGGTCTACGTACCTCGATTCAGATCATGCTTTGGATTGCGCGGAGATCTGCATGCGCTTCGGCGGCTCCTCAAAACGAAAGCTCCATACATTCGACACCAACATGTGAGCTGACCTCTCTACTCGATCAACTTATCAAGCTTCTTTATCGCATGCATTCATTGGTGCTCCACCTCGAGACATAGAAAATCAATGGAGTTTTTTGCGTGAAGCGATGCTAACTTCCAGTCACTCAATCTGCGAAATCACAAAGCGCCCTCTAGGGGGATGGATTTTTGCACACTCCCTGGAATTGTTTGGTCGTCGTAGAGCTACCCCGACTGATTCAAATAGCAGTGCATTGCGTCGCATTCTCAGCCAACAACTTAAGCAAAGCCTGCGTACTGACCGTGAAACTTGGTGGTCCCAGCGCGCCTCAGAGATAGAAACGGCAGCCCTCTCTGGAAACTTTCACAAGCCGTTCCAGGTCATTCGGGTCACTGATCACAAAAGACCTGGTGTCAGTGAGGTAATTTGCGAGGTTGACGGAATGCCGATAAGCAACTTACACAAGCGTATGGACCGCTGGGCTGAACACTTCCGCATTCAATTCAGCTGGCCTCCTCAGCCGGCGAGCCTATTGAGTATACCTAATTGCGCGCATTGGAACGTCTCATTGGAACCACCCACTGAAGCTGAGGTCCGCCTTAAGCTCCGACACTTGAAGCCATTCAAGTCTGATAACCCAGAAGGGTAATTTCAACGCGCGTTGGGTGTGATGCATCGGTGTGGATAAATGTTATTGGTCTGCATGGCATTGGTTCAGCGAATATATATATATATATATATATATATATATATATATATATGCTGAACATAAGTCGTTCCGATGCGAGAACCCTAGTCGTTGAGATAATTATCCGTATGTTGCTGAGGACTGCGAATTGTTTTCACACAGCGCGGATGAGTTGCAGCACATGACTAGTGCTCTGGCTTCGACAGCGGCCAAATTCGGGCTCAACATCAACACATGCAATACTGTCTGTCTCTTTCAGCTTTCACCGGAGGTGCAATCTTATATATTGCCGCAAATCAGCATTGGGGCTGAAGTATTGGAAACCACCTCCCGCTTCTGCTACCTTGGGAGTGTGCTATCGACTGACCAGCAGCTACACGTTGAGTTGTGTATTCGCGTGTCAAAGGCAGCAGCGGCATTCGGGAAGATTGAGTACCGAGTGTGGAACAACCATCAGCTTACCATTGGCACGAAGCTGATGGTGTACAAATCCATGGTGCTGTCCGTTCTTCTATACGGCAGTGAAACGTGGACGATGTACCGGCGGGATGTGCGATATCTCGAGCGGTTCCATCAGCAGTGTCTGCGACGGATTTTGCGCATCGGCTGGGGCGACAGAGTTGCAGACACCGAAGTGTTGCACCGAAGTGGGATGTATGCAGTGGACTGCATCCTTCTGCTGAGACACCTGAGGTGGCTCGGTCGTATGAGCCGTATGGTTTCGACGCGGATACCGAAGCAACTCTTATATGGTCAGCTGAGTATTGGGAAGCGGCATGTGAGGAAACCAAAGTTACGTTACCAGGACATGATCAGAGTGAGCCACACACGTTCTAATCCTGGTTGCAGGTCATGGGAATCGAAAGCGGTTGATCGGCGTGTATGCCGCGATCTGATCACGAAGGCCATGGCCGAGGTTCAACAAAAAGCCTTCGCGCATGCGGAGAAAAAAGTAGCAATTGCGGAAGCGACAGAGGCCGATGGGTTGTAGTCCATCGACAGCGAGCGCGTGGTGCTGTAGACATGCCGTAAGCACAAGCGGCATCAAAAGCACAAGACAACATTGCATGAAGATATATATTAAACAGAGCAGAAGATAAGACACAGCCTTGCTTCACACCAGTGACAACTGCAAAGTCATCCGAGGTCTCTCCACTCAGCTGCACCCTCGCTCGCATATCATTGTGCAGACATTCAATTAAACTTACAAACTTACGCGGGCAACCAAACTTACCCAACACCAACCACAATGCCTCGCGGTTCACCGTATCAAATGCTTTGGTGAAATCAACAAAAAGCTAGTACAATGGCTGGTGTCGTTCTCTGCACTTCTCCTGCAACTGACGAGCCGAAAACACCATATCTATAGTGCTGCGACCCGAACGGAATCCACATTGCTCTTCCGCCACGTTAGGTTCCACAACCTGACTGACGAGGCAGTTGAGCAGGATTCGGGCAATCACCTTGCCCACACAACTCAGCAAATTGATGCCACGATAATTCGTGTAACATTGCTTGCTACCTTTGCCATTGTACAGTGGTAGCACAAGTGTATCCTTCAGCTCAGCAGGCACCTCCTCCTCAATCCATACACGTTGCACCAACTGGTGCAACGTAGTCAACAACGCGGGTCCGTCGTCTTTTAATACTTCAGGCGGGATCTTGTCGGGCCCAGCACATTTGCCGTTTCGCAGCTGAGCAAGTGCTCTCTGCGTCTCATCCAGTGTCGGCGTGTCCGCCAGACTCGTCTTCACATCGTGCTGCTTGAGGCCGTTCAATGTAGGCCAGTCGATCTTTTAACGGTTGTTCAAGAGACAGTCAAAGTGCTCCCGCCAGACCTGCATTATGTCTGCAGTCCGTGTGCAGGTAGCGCATGAACTACCATCGATCAGCGTCCTCAGCGGCTCCAATCTCGGTCCATACACCGCCTTCAAGGAGACAAAGAATTTTTTGTGTTGGCGGCGTTCGGTGTAGCATTCAATCTGCTTCGCCTTCTCCGTCCACCATGCATTATTTATGCGACGGAGCTCTCCGATCCGCCGCCGTCGAAGTTTGCGAAACTGTCTACTCTTCCCCAAGTCACTGGAGTCAGCCACATGTGCGGCAAATGCTGCATTAATTCCCGACACTAATGAGCCAGTCGTCGCATTGTTGTCATCAAACCAATCAGGCCGCTTACAGTTTGCGCGCCCGATGGTCTCCGCTGCAGTAGCTGTCACTTGGTCGAGAATGTGGTGCCACAGGTCGCCCACTGTGACTATGCATTCCACATCACATAGGCGTGCAGCCATCGCCTTCTCCAACTCAATACGTTTCGCCAAGGTACAGAGGGAGAAAAGGTTAAATTTATGCCGATTCACGACATAGTGCAATGCATAGATTTACGAAAATACATGTACAGTTTGGTCCGCACCAATCTGTGATCAGTGCCACACTCAGCTCTACGCAGAACACGTGTCATGCGCACTTCACGCATATCACACTGACGTACGATGACATGGTCGAGCAGGTGAGCGTGACCACTCCGTGGGTGCAACCAATTTGCTATATCACTCTTACTCAGTGCTAACCGAGTGTTCGTGATCGTCAGGTCGTGAGTGGTACACAGTGAGAGCAGCCTGTCACCGTTGAAATTCGCTGAACCAATGCCATGCAGACCAATAACATTTATCCACACCGATGCATCACGCCCAACGCGCGTTGAAATCACCCAGCAGAAATAGTCGGTCGCTCCTCGGCACAGACCGTATCACGGAGGATAGCTCAGTGTAGAATTGGTCACGCATGTCATCAGGATGACACACAGTCGGACTATACGTGTGTAGAAAAGTGGCAAACTTACCTCTCTCGAGTCGTAGGCGAACAGTCATCAGTTGCGCGATGATGCCTGTTGGTTCCCCCACCAGCTGGCCCTGGAGGCGATCGGATATTGCAAATCCGACCCCGTGTTCACGGGGTGCTTAGGTGGCGTTGCCCACTCAGTAGAATGTGTAGCCAGCACCTGCTTCATGCAACTTACCTTGCTCAGCGAGCCCGTTCTCGCTGTGCGCTGCAATATCGATGTGGTAACGCGCAAGCTCCATCGCGACGAGTGCAGTGCATCGCTGGGGGCGCTCACTCGAGTTCCGGTCAAGTAGTGTGTGCACGTTCCAGCTGAGTGCTTTGCGCGCAGGCATACGATTGCATTGGTTCGCAATCGCACGCGAGGTGGTGGTTGTGCTTCGGAGGTTTGCTTGAGGGACTCCGCCCGGAGCCTTTGGCTCAACAGCCTGACCCACAAAGCAGTGGGGAGCAGATCCAACTCGGGAATGTGATTGCAGAGACAGATTGGGATCTGCTTGACGGCCGTCACACGCAGCCTTGGAGGTACCGAAACGATTTGTGATCGTAGTAGGATACAGCTGCGACCACAGGCAGAAGCAGATGGGTTTTGGAGGGTCTGCACCAATTTGACCAGGGGCTGCCTGGCTTGAGGCGGGCAGTAGCAAACCATTGAACACCCGGAGGTGTCCTCCCACCGTCAGAGACAATGCGTGGCGCTCGTGCTCTACGCCAATCGAGCTGTGAGCTTCTAAGCCGTAGACCTGTTGTCTCCCATGGTTAGGTTTTACGGGAAGAGAGTCATCGACCACTTCCTAACCTCCGAAGAGGATAGACTAGGATACCGGCAGGGCGCCCACACCTGACAGGAGAACGACTCTGGTCCTCAGCCAAAGCCTTCGGTTAAATGTACATCCAAAAGGCAGCGGGTCTAGCATATGGTCAGTTCACTGACTCATGCAGATTGGTGTCCTGGATTTTAGCAGGAAGGGCGAAACCCAAGTCTTACCCAGCGGTCGCTACGAGGCGTCCAGGACATGAGCCAATGGTGCAACAGTGGCAGCAGTGGGTAGATCATCTGTCAGGATCTAGCCGCCATCACTCTCAGCGCACCACATATGTATATATGTCACTGTGGCCAGCCACAGGACGCCTGCGCCTACAGAGGGACCATGGATGGCTTGCGCTGCACCACCCACAGCTCCAACCACACACCCCATATCCAGTGTAAACCCGAAGCAATAAGACCGGGAGGCATGTGGATGGGAGCCACGTTTCATCAACGGAGCCGGCCCACACTCTTTCACAGGCAAACACAAGCACGCTGTATTTTGGGAATCAAGCGCACACAAGGCGGTGGCCAGACCGTAGTCCGCTCCACACTGAGTGCATGGAACTGCTCTTTGAGCTTAGCATGGCCACAAGGACCGTGTACCCCGTCCCTTCCAGCAACGACCAACTGTCTCCTGGAGCCAGTATGAACGAGGCAGTGGGTAATAGACAGGTAAGCACCTTGTCAACACGCACCTCAAGCGCAGCCACACCGGGGATATCAAGCAACAGCCAATCACTTGAAACGACAAGATGAAATAAAATAAATCCAATAATGGATACAGATACGGTGGCATAACTCTGCCCTAACTTACTATATGAAGTAAGTTGGCTAGCAACGAATTCGTGATAAGTAAGAAATGTGCACAAGTTACTTAAAAATGCTTCAAACGCAACAGTTACCGAAGATGAGCAAAATTAGCGTAAGCAACGTGGCCAGTTAATAGATTATTCAGGTAAGCAGAAAAAAGCAAATAAAGTGGAATGAAATTTATCCAGCCTAGAAAGATCTAATTTAAGTTGGTTTAGCCTAACTGCGGTGAAGAAGCATCAAGAATGCAACATCAGCCTCAGCATGGGGCATATATATATATATATATATATACATATATATATATATATATATATATAGGCTATTTTCACCATAAACCTCATCAAGTCCACAGCTTCTTACGGTCAGGTATGACATTGGCAAATGATAGACGGTGATACGTAAACGGCAGATATACGGAGAGAGCGAAGTAACCAACGCAGAAGGGTAGAGCTTAACGGGAGATCTAGCGTGGCGACAGATCGATTACCAAGTATCGTAAACTTCTGTATTGTCCACTCAGTAGTCTGTTCAGATACGATATGTTGCCAAGAGGAGGGAGGCAGATGATCAGTGGCCCAATATCGTTAGAACGAGGCGGTCGCGTTTTTATTTGACACAGTAAGACTGGCCATATTTCGGCCTTGTACATTATGCCTAGAAAATATAAGATAATGGTACGGATAATTAAAGTTTGGAAAGTTATGTCGGCTTGAGTGGGTTGATATACGAAGGGTTTACTACATAAGGTATCATTCCATATTCACACAACCATCAACGGATCACAGAAATGCTAGTTTGAACACGTCACTGAACCAGCGTCAACACAATAAAGCAGAAGGGTACGGATCAACATGGTAGTTCAAAATGTCCGAGTCCAATCACGACTTTCAGCCATCCGTTTGCAACAGGCGCATAGGCCTGGGCAACACAGGTAAGCTCCGTCAGATCATGATTCCTGGCGACCATAAGGACAGGGGTGGACATTGCAACGCGAAAGCTTAGACACAAACTCGGGTGGAAAACAGAACAGGACGACAGGATTGTTGCGATCAGGTTTCGGCAACTAAGAAAGGGGACAAGATACTTACCGAAAATCGCAAATGCGGCCGAAGGGTCGCGATCTTCGACTAAATGGGATGCGGTCTGGATGTTTTCATTCACGGTAGTTTCACCCGACTCCTAGAGTAAAAGAAATGAGAGGATTTCGATAAAATCAGTCAACAGAGAAGGAAAGGAATTCACTAGCTGTAGATCCGTGTGCGATAGTACGAGTCCGCAGGTTGCAAGGAGGTAATAAATGCTCCAAAGTAGTGTATAAGCGCACTGAAAGTAAGGAATCGACGAAAGACGGTGGAGTGGATGATAGACTAGTTATAATACCAGTTAGGGAGGGACAAAATAAACCGTTTCAGGGAAGAACAAATTCACAACAGAGTTCGGTCGAGCTAACCTAAGTAGCCACGAGCCCATTACTGATGCGCAGTGGACTCGTGTCGCCAGAACAATGTTTTGTTTAAAGCAGTTAGTTCCCTTCAGAAATTTGAAAAGCACGGTAAGAAGACGAAAACTGGTAGATGCATGCATTTCGTATTGTCTCCTCAGTACCATTAACAATAACCGGTATGCAACTATATACTTAAATATGTATGTGACCGAATAAGCATGGGGTGCAAAATGAATGGCGGAAGTTTCACCCCTATGTCCACGGCAGTCTTAAGCTGATAAATAATTGCTTTTGAACACACAGGGCCGGCTTCATCCGGCTTATCGCAACGGCCTCGGCGAACCGGAGGAAGCGGGGATTAGGGTGACGTAATACAAGTGTGAACGCTGATCCGAGCTCTATCCAGTGACGCGTAGTCAGTAGGTGTTTACCTATTGAGGAAGCTGGCGGCTTGCGCAAGCACGAAACTTCAGTGGGACAGGGATGCTGGTCAATTTCACGTTGAACCCACCTTGGCACATGTTTCTTTATTCGGGAAGTCAAAGACCGATTGGTTCTGCCTGTGTAACTGTTTCCGCAGTCGCATACGAATTTGTATATGCAGTGTGAGTTGGTCCCTATCGGTTGAGCTTCCTTCGTTGGAGGCACCGGCAAGTTACAGGTCCTATTGATGACCACAACCTGAGCAGCACAGTAACTTCTCTGCGTAGCGGAGATTAGACGTTTCGTGGTTTTCAATACAGTAAAGTCACCTTTGAAAGGCAACTCGATATAGATCTTTTTCTTGGCTGCCGTATGCACCAAGTCTTTCGGGTCTCGTTGTTGGCTGTGCTTCTCTATAAATCTACGTGGATAACCATTTGCAATGAGGGTGGTTGTAATTAACTTTAGCTCGTCGGCTAGACAATCAGCCGAGCAAATTCGTCTAGCACGACTAACTAAAGTTTCCACAAGGATCCGCTTGTACCGCACTGGTGTGAAGCTGGTGAAGTGCAGGTATTGGCCGGACCAGGTTGCTTTCCTGTAGATAGACCTTTTAATGAGCCCGTCATCCCTGCGACTGATGAGGATGTCTAAGAATGGCAGACAGTTGTTTTGTTCCACTTCGCAGGTGACCCGTAAGTTGGTATGTGCCCTGTTGAGTTGCTGTACAAACTGGACAATCTGCTGCTCCGGTCACACGCATATTTAAGTATATAGCTGCATACCGGTTATTGTTAATGGTACTGAGGAGACAATACGAAATGCATGCATCTACCAATGTTTTGTTTGTTTGCCGAGGCAGGGAGCGTACTGAATGGTGGGAAAATGAGGCAAAATGTGAAGTAAAACGCAGAGGAGTCAGGAAAATGATCTGAAAGGTGAAAGTTGGAGGTAGGAGAGTGAATACAGGAGTATCGCTGGCACCAAACACCAATGCAACTAGTCACAGGTCAGTAGCATTCAAGAGAGCTTCAACCATCTCATGAATGCTCGAGAACGTCAGTGCTTCGGTAAACTTACAGATAAGCCAAACTCTCATGATTAGCATCTAGCCAACTGGTACAGAAAACTGTTTTAAAGTGAAGCTGTAAAACATTTATAATTTTAGTGTGATTTACGATGTTTGATAAGTTTTCGGTTAGGATGATAGGAAGTTTATATTCAATGAGAGTCACGTTGAATTTGTAGGAATCAAGAGCGGTTGCTGTACAGAACGCAATGTTGTGTGAAAATCATTTGTGGAAAGACTGCACATGTTAAAATGAACGATAGTACGGCGAATACCACAGGATGTTAACCGACACCCCACCTCCACCACAGGGAAACTGGTCGAGTAAGGACAGTGGTAAAAATTGTTGATAGAAGGCCATGAGATAGAGTTCAGCTAACTGGCTGTGATTAGGGCACTGAAATGCAAGAAAGCAGGCTGTTCTGCCAGTGTAAATGGCGGTTAATAGCATTGGAATGAAAAGAGGGGAAGAAGGTAAACAAGCGAATAGATGAAAGCGGAAAGGAAAAAAGTAACAAACACCAAATGAAAAACAGAAGCATTAGATCGAATGCGAAATCTATGCTAGGTTGCCGACTGCAATGAATCTTAAGGAGCCTCGAATTGCCGATAAGGTCGAGGCTGTAGTTCCGTCTGGGAAGGCGCGTGGTGATTTTACAGCCAATCTCTGTACACTTTGTGTTATGTTATTGAATGACTAGCTTGTGACCGCATCCAGGTGGGTGAAGGATTGGTAAACGGCGTAGACCGATGTAGCCAGTCAGCAGGGAAACGAAGATTGTGACCCGGATGACGCTACGTATAATCTAGAACGGTCAGAGAATATGGCGGCAAGCACAAACGGGTGGATGATCTGACAATTCACTGACCCGCTATGATGGTTTTCTTTTGGCTTGAAAGTCGTCTTCGAATCTGTTAATCGTACCGACTTGTAGTGCTGTTCATCCGTGAAGAGCGTCCATGAAAACTCATCATTCTGAGATTTCCTTGCCACGAATCTCAAAATCGGGTAAAAGTCTAGAGGAAACTGTCTCGTGAGTTCCCAAAAATAAACTTGTAATCAAAATGAGTATAAATGATTCTATCCTCCGACCCTCTTAGAAAGCGGAAGTTCTGCCACGAACGGCATAACTCCCCGCAGCCGTGCAAGCACTACTGAATAGATTGACGCGTAGCGCTGCATCATTCGACATGTGCATAGTACATACAAAATGTAAAGTACTGTTGCGGGATTGAATTGATGCGCTAATATTTTTTGCTTTGAGTGAAAAGTGGCTAGAAGTCGTCAACCGGTTCATTTACCCTGACATTTGTGTCGCCTCAGACGGTCACATCACTGAGGTTACTTAACACATCGACAAAGTCCGTGTGGATTTTAGGAGACTAAATCATCCATGGAAATGGCCGGAAATTGGTTTGTCAGTTCAAAGGTAGGGTGTATAACGTCATGGTTAACGCCGGCGTCACTGTATGTAACTGTGATGTAACCAGTTCATGCGGAAAATATCAAGAGGTTAACCGTCTTCGATCACCGGTGCTTGCAGAGCTTTGCCTACAACCAGTGATAAGGCCGGGTCGCAATGCAGTTAATGGATGATAAGAAACCCTCTGGTGCCTCAAGGCAGAGACCGATAAACTTGGAGAATCTCGGCCCCTTATATATGCCCGTTGATTACCTTCTCCGAGTGCATTTCATGCTGTCGGAGCACCAAGTTAGGTGAAACCTAATGGCCAGTCGGCGAAGTGGCATAAGGCTATGAAGAAAGCAGCCAAAAGCTTTGTCACGCTGGTACATGCTGTCTTCGTGAACAGGATAACTACTCGCTATTTTCCGGGTCCCCTTTTCTTTGTATTCTGTTCGCGTGCCACCTCATTATTTAATGCCACTTTAGTAACGCAAATTGTGGATGCAACGTACTTCGGTGCGCAGATCGTAGATATATAACTGAGCCGAACCTCGCCGTTCCCACCAGGTTTAAGCTGGGTTTCGCAGGTGTCGGTAAGCAAAGATGGTTAGTTACTCGACACTTCCAATGCGCATTAGTTAGGTGCAATATCCATAAAGTAACGCTGGTAGTTTTGCAGCGTCGCGTCCCAAGCTTATGAGCGATGAGCCAATAGTTCACCGTGTTCACGTATGGCTGAGGCGTGGTAAACGCGCACGAGCCCCACTGATGTGCGCGGCAACCTTCTTGGTGAATTGGTCCTTGAATCCACTACGAACTGGGACTTCTGAATGTGTTTTAATCGATCGATGGAGTTGGATTGCGCGTCAGCGGGAGTTTGAAAGAATGGCTCATCCACGAAAGTCCCATTTCCGCCTTCTGGTCAGACTGCGCTGGTCCAGATCGACGGGACATCCCTTAACGGAGATTATAACCACAGCACAATCTGCTGCACTTCACCCTGAACAACGTGCATGTATGAAACTGACATGGATATAGTATAATGCATATTCCCATCTAATATGCAGAGGGGACTAAAGGAAAAAAAGCTGTAAATATTTTGATATTTCCCTATGTGGGAATTGTCGCATCATCGAGAAAAAAAGATTTATTTATTTATTTAATACCACTACAGAGTAAGCAAATAAAATAGCACGGAACCTTCAGCACAAGTGGCAACAGTGTGTACAGATCAACCGCTCATGTAAACTAGCGAGGGCAAAATGGTTGACGGATGATGTATCAATCCGAAAAGTGGATAGTATCAAAGACTGAAGCAACAATAGTAGTGATGTTGGCGCATATACTCACTTCTGAGATCGACATCGGCATGGGTAGACCGCTAGTGGGATCCACTTGATGCATCTCGAATGGCTCACGGTTGGCACAAACGCACCTGGTATCCCCATTCTCATACTGATCATTTGCATCTTCTTGCTCGGAAGCGCAAGAGGAAGAGGAAGATGATTCGCCCACCATCATGCAGGCATCGGGAACGAAAAGGGGATCATCTCCGGACAAATGTATGTTCAGAAGTACGTTCTCAAAGGAGGGAATTTGATCAGGTGTAGTGGGTAAACTGTCGCCACGGTTCGATTGCCGCAAGGTGCCACCAGCACCATCAGTGTCTAAGTTACACTGTGAAGAGTCTAGAGGATTGCGAGATTTAGCGTGAGGCGGAATCGGAGGTGGAGGTGAAAAGGGGTGTTGAAAACGGCCCAGTAATGGATCAACAATTGCTGGATCACTACTACCATTTTGATGACACGAAAGCTGATTGCTCATCATGCTCACTGACACTGGCAATCCCGAAACACTGACGTCACCGCTCAATCCAGAACAGGATAGCGAGCATCCGCTGCTCCTAAGAAAAGCAAAATGCAAGGCAAGTGCAAAACAGGGAAAATGGTGAATTCACGGGACGGGGTTGAATCAGCGGCACTAAGTGGAAAGAGAATAAAAAGTTGTTTAGACGAAGATGGAAAGAAATCGCCGAAATTGATGTGTCCGGCGGCTACCAAAGGTTCGCTCAAAAGCGACAGGAGTTGCCATCGTTGTCACTTGATAAGCATACGACGCATACGTAGACATCACGTACTGTAGCAACTGGGATTGCGAGATAAAGGACCATAAATTCAGGATGGGTGCTGACCGAAACCAGAAGGGAGACCGGACTGGTGGGGGAAAACGTAGTGCACTTAAAACGAGATAGAGTCAGTAAATGGCAATTATATGATCAGGCAACGAGACCATTTGTCACCTAAACCGTAACCGACAGCTGATGAGTACAGCAATGAGGTCATCTCATTCATATGCAGCTACAAGGACTAAGACGAGTTGACTGACCATTGAGCTCATAGGTAGTGGGCACGTGAAGCAAAAGTGCAGTACTACACCGTATTTGTGACCACGTGCTATCCATAAGCGCAGGCAAGTTAGTTCCAGTAGGTTCGGTGGTTGACACTCCAAAAAGGTCATACTCTCTTTCTAGTTTAGAAAGCTGAGCAGAAAATAAAGTATACCACGTTCACTTTAAACGACGTTTGAAAATCAAACTGGGCAGTCGCGCGGCTGCACAGGGTCATACACACATAGTACAAGAGAGTCAATGAGGTGACGGGGGACAATGGTCACCATTGGTCGAGGTGAACGATGCACGAGAAGGGCCCATAGTCTACACAGCTCGGGTTGCATTGGCCTGACCGCAATGTGGTTTGAACAAGGTTCAGTCACTTTCGCTTGTGTGTGTGTGTGTGTGCACGAACCTGTACAGCTGCGTTTGTGCACAGTGTGATATGCAAAACGTTCCGTTGGGTTTGTAAAATATTTAGTTTGGAGGAAAAATAACGCATATAAATGGTGGGATGCTAAACAGGAACAAGGGTACCTAAGTAAGTATATTGCGGTTTTGCAACAGTCATGCGAGCGACCAGAACGAGTGCACATCAAGCGTAGTGCTTACCGGCCACTACTGGAGCAGCCCATACTGACACCCGGAGAGTGCGGCAAAACCGGAGCGGAGTTTACGACGTGTCCTTCACTCGCAGCGCCATCGCTATCCCGTACAAAACGACCCTGAGTAAGGAGATGACCGTTGGTCAAAGTACCCGTATTGGCGGATACAAGTGAACCGGAACCGTAGTGAGTATGTGATTCTTGGCTATCTTTGATCAGTCGGTGGTCACCAAGAGCGGGGGACATTTCCGGTATGGTAGAACCGCTTGCTCGTGTGCCAACATAGGCCTGCATTGGGGTTGAACCGGGAGGTCCAAATACTGCACCGCCAGTGCTAGTTCGACGGCCGGATTTCACAAGACATCCGTTTCCAAGATTCATGCGATGAGATGCCAGTTCCATTAAACTAGTGGCGCTCAACTCGTGCAGCCCAGACACATTACCGCCATGACCACTGTTCGTCGTACAACTGCTTCCACGACCGCTACTACTGCTCTCTGCAGTCGAGCGGGCGATCAGCGGCATACCGGTTGACGTGACGACTGGGCCAGTGGACCCATCAGAAACGCCAAATAGAGAGCCTGAAGCGTCGAGTGAGTTAGGGACACGTGACAGACCAGATGGATAGTTCGTCAGTTGCAGTGATGTTGCATCCGATTGCATGGTAGAATTAGCGCATTGTGATGAAGCAGAAAACGATCGGGAGACTGAGTTCATGGACTCCAAAGATCCAGAAGAATCTGGTAAAATATTGCAAAAACGTTGTATGAAGCGTGTGTCACAATGCGCCAATAAGCAGCAACAAGTCTACAATAAATTCTGCGTAGGGTAGGACAAAGATGACAATAAACATAGCGTCGTTAGAAAATGGAGGCTAACAATAGTTTAATCATTGTCAACAGTTACTTGACGATGGGGAGTACCATATAATACAACGCTTATGTTTATAATCAAAACAGTCAAACTTTTAAGTCCCGCCCATCTCGCTCTTAAGTATAGCATCATAGTTTGAGGCATTATCGGGAAAATGACAGAATAGCTCTGGAAAGTCTACGGAGAGGGGTTAGCAAATGTGCACTAGTCAAATATTTCACCAAGAAGTATCGAGAGTGCTACAAACTCTGGCATGAACCTATTTGCAAAGATTAAGGCACAACTTGATGCTCATATTCGGTCTGATCCACAACCTACTCCAATTTGCAATAATTGTAGCATGGTTAAACCGGGGAACTAGGCAAGAAAAGCTGTGCCATCGTCACACCAAGACGAAACACAAATGTGCGTTATGATTTTTTCCTAGGCAGGCAAAAAGCCCTGTGGAATAAGGCACCAGATGAAATCAGGTCGCGTGAAAACACAACAACGTTCTGTAATAAGCTGAATACGTTCTCATAGGGGAAACACCTGGTGAATTGTTTCAAGATGGTCCAGATAACATCAAATGGGTAAAGTAGAACATCACGAAATGTTAGCGGTCCTGAATGGTTGCATTGCCAATGAAGCAATACAGTCACAGGAATAGCAAGCATAAGAACAAAAATGGGAATAGCTGACATGATACTAATGTCGGTAGACCATCACTTGTCTGGTGTGATACGAACAAAGATTAATTGAACAACGTTTCCTCCCCCGCCCATCGCGACGAGACTGGACCATAGCGTGGTGCGATGGTTTGCGTGCTTCAACAACCCGCTGAGCCGTACTTTCTGCGCCTTCAGAACCCCTCATATCAAATTGGTAAGTGGCACGAGCCAACAAACGCAGTCATCTGGACCTACAGATTGGGGAGTAGTGATGGTGGCGACTTACTCCACAAAACGGACTCTGTGTGGCCCGGTGCAAAAATCCGGCTGCTTTGCGATCAGGTTTTTGGACCAAATACAGTGGTAGAAAATCCTAATCGTTCCACCGTCTAGGCCAGGGAAACCTGAAAGTACCCTGCCTACCCAAGACATTGATAAACTTCAAGCGCAGCCGTCGCAGAATAAGCAACGGTGTCCCGTCCGTTGCGTTGAGCAGGGCGAATAGAGGTGAGAACAATACTGCTCAGGTCTTCCCACTTTTTATTCCCTTCTTACACCTTTTCATCGTTAGCGTCCTCTTTCAGCTTCAATTTTATCCCCCTGCGTTTTTAACACGCCAATTCTCGGTCCTCCAAATTCTTGGAGGTTCGATAGTTACTTGTTTTCTAATAACAACTCACGCGCACTGCGTCGCTCAGTTCCAACTGACAAGTCCATGTCTAATTAAGTGGACAACGTAAGCTCATCCGCTTTTATTGAGAGCGCTTACACTTCAACGAACACAATTCGTTTCAGATCGGTTCACAGGCATCACTAAGGACTCAATCCTATCAGAAACCCACTTATAGCTCTGTGTCCACCAGACGATTGCCTTCATTTGACACGGGCACCGCCTTTCCATTGTGCATATCCGGAGAGAATGCGGAGTCGAATGCAGATCAAGCCGGTGTAGGTATTGTTCTGTCCCGAGAATCGAAGCTGCCCTAGTCGAATGGATCCCAGTCAACAGCCGAATGTGCGCCGTCAAACTGGCTGGCTCGTTCGGAACTTCGAAGTCGCACAGCGCCAATAGACGTCTGTTTGTTATTGCTGCAGGAACTGTTAAGTTCGCTGCCGGCTAGTGGCCATCCTGCCATTAGGCCGTTCCTCTGGATCCATTCTTTCGCTCGGAAATCGAATGTGAGATCGTATTGCTGAAGCTGAATAAAGCCGCATGATTAAATGGGCTTCATCCATCCCACTTCAGATACGGGTAACAAAATCTTCTAGATGACTTACAGGATTCATTAGTGAAATTGTGCGAGCAGGAAACTGGCCCAATTGTAAGAGGCTGTTCCGTTATAGAGAAGTTCACAGTCGGAATGCAGCAATTATAAAGGTATCCGTCTGTCCTTTATCACCTCTAAATTGCTTGCTTTTGTTGATCTTCATAGACTGACCGACTGGCACCCGTGAAAACCAGATTCGGGAGAAGCAAACTGGGTTTCATCGAGGTCGAGGTTGTATCGACGACATGTTACTTTACGTTGACTGTTTAGCACCGTCACTTATATTGGCGACCCACTAGTCGTGTTCCTCGATATCAAAGGTACATTCAGTTCAGCTAGTCGAGGTGCTCTTTAAGAGTGAGTGACTAAACAAGATGTGCCGGGGAAAATCGTAAATAACATCAGATTAATTTTCGCGCGCAGGTCGTGCAGAGAGGGTTTATGGCAAGCCGGCACGCTGTACAGTATCTCTAGCGGGGTAAGTTAAAGATGTCGGCTATCACCTATCCATTTCAACTTCGAAAATGACGAAGTCTTGGAAACTGTGTTCACTGGGCGCAAGTTTTTAATTTAGTGTATACCGAGAATGTTACTCTAATTCATCATAACTCAAACGTGTCAAGCGGCACAGGATGGTGGCTGTAGCTGTCAGCCGTCTCGCGCCGTGCTGTACACTCTACAAATGAGAAGGTTTCTTCCAAAATGGTCGGGTACCGTTTAGACATTGACGCTAAAAGTCGTTCGGTAACTCAATTACTTGGGTAGTTGTATCAGCAGCTGTGCGATAGAAGATGAGGTCACAAAACTATATAGCATAAGTTTGAAGTGTTTCTGCTAAACTACGCAGCTAAACTATGCAGCTGTCCGTCTGACCATATCACAATCACATTCCCGAGCTGGATCTGCTCCCCGCTGCCGGAGAGTGAGCAAAAGACTCCGGGCGGAGTCCCTCAAGCAAACCTCCGAAGCACAACGATCACCTCGCTTGCGATTGCCAACCAATGCAATCGCATGCCTGCGCGTAAATCACTCAGCATCGGGTGCTGAAACGTGCAAACACTACTGGACCGGAACTCGAGTGAGCGCCCCCAGTGACGCACTGCACTCGTCGCGATGGAGCTGGCGCGTTACCACATCGATATTACGGCGCTCAGTGAAACGGCTCGCTGAGCAAAGTAAGTTGCATGAAGCAGGTGCTGGCTACACGTTCTACTGGATGGGCAACGCCACCTCAACACCACGTGAACACGGGGTCGGATTTGCAATATCCGATCGCCTCCAGGGCCAGCTGGTGGGGGAACCGACAGGCATCATCGCGCAACTGATGACTGTTCGCCTACGACTCAAGAGAGGTAAGTTTGCCACATTTATCAGCTCGTATGATCAGACAATGTGTTATCCTGATGACATGCGTGATCAATTCTACACTCAGCTATCCTCCGTGATACGGTCTGTGCCGAGGAGCGACCGACTATTTCTGCTGGGTGATTTCAACGCGCGTTGGGCGTGATGCATCGGTGTGGATAGATGTTATCGGTCCGCATGGCATTGGCTCAGCGAACGCGAACGGTGACAAGCTGAACTCAATGTATGTCACTCACGGCCTGACGATAGCTGACTTGCCGAACTACCTCCTCGTGGTGCCAGGTGGGTGGTTCGGGATTATCCCGTTCCAGCGAATGGTTCGGCGGCGGTGTTCCAGGACGTGGTGGGTTTTCGCCTGACAAGCGTTCTCCCTATAAAAAGCCACATATGTCCGTTGAACAACACTGTGACGTGGCGGATGTGACTCGCCACTAAATAAAGTCACCGCCCCTTTCTTCACCTCACTGGAGCATCGTAATCATTCAGCTTGACGCTGAATTACTAGGAGTACTGGGCCACTGTTTGGCAGTCAGCCAAACGAAAGGCGTATGAACCGAGTAATTGGTCACCGGCTCCCCATGGGCGTGATTCCCTGAATTCGTCCCACTGCCTTGCGGGTCAGGTCTCTATGACCAAAGGCTCCGGGTGGGTCCCACTAAGTCAACCCCCTTCTTCGGCCAGGGCAACCCAGAAGCTGTATGCCCACACAACACATGAAATGAAATGATGGATTTACAACTCTCTGCTCACGTATCTCGCTCTCTCTTTGGCCGGGGTGCTGGTGGTCGGACACGCTATACCTCACTCTACCGCACCGCAAACCCCGTTCTTCGTTCCACGTTTATACAATCCTCCAGTTCTTGGCAACCCGCCTTCAATTTCGAGTCTCAAAAAGTGCATTGCAAATAAAAACGGTACCTTTGGCCTCCTCAATGAACCGCTCAAAATTGATCGCACACATTCCAATACCAACAGCAAGACTGTTATTGCACCCCGCTCGCTCTTCAAGCTAGCTACTTCAAAGGTTCGAACGCTTATGCAGATTGGTTCACAAGCTGCTCATGCGCGAACTTTGGAAACCCTCTCAATCGAAGTTCGGTGCCTAACCGAAACCCGTTTACAAGACTCCAGCACAACGCTGCAATTGCCGTCACCCTCCCCAAGTTCCAAGTGCACATTCAACTTGCGCTTTTCTGGAGATGCGACAGAGACAACCTCTGGTTGAGCCGGCGTAGAAGTTGCGTTAAGCGCGCGTGCTGAGGCAGCGCTTATTGACTGGTTCCCGGTCAACAGTCGTCAGTGTGCAGTCCGTTTGGAAAGCTCAGTGTGATTTTCCAGCCACGGGACCAGTAGGCGCTGCTTATTCATTGTGGCGGCATACGCTCCAACTGACTGCAGCCCGGACGAAGATAAAGAAGAGTTCTACCGCCAACTCACCGACCTCCTCCGCAAGAACCGCCGCACGGACATCGTGATACTCGCCGGTGGCCTAAATGTGCAGGTCGGTAGACTAGAGATTCATGAGCGCGAACTTGAGGGTCAACACAGCCACGGTAGTCGCATGACGGACAACGACGATCGACTCCTGCAACTGTGAGCCGACCACAGCTTGTTCCTATGCAGCACCAATTTCCGACGTTCCTGGCGCCAACGAGCCACCTAGGGACCTCAGGCGCCTGGTTAATCTTGGACGCAAATTGACCACATCACTGTTAGTTACCGTTGGGGCGGCTGCATAACGGATTGCAAGTCAATATGGAACACTTACCTGACTTCGGATCATGCGCTCGTGTGTGCTAAGTTCGTTCTGCGTTTTGGAGGCACCCAACAGCGTTGCCGGAAACGGCTTGACACAGACAAGCTCGCAGTTCCAAATGTTCTCGGCGCATTTCAAAACACATTAGCCTCCAATCTACATTCTCTATCCTCCGATGTTGAGACACACTGGACAGAGATTCAGAGCGCCTTAGGAAAGTCTGCTACCCTGGTCTGTGGCTTCACTAGACCAGCTGTTACTCATTGGATCTCCGCACAGTCTCTCCAATTAATGGAAACCCGTCGAACAATTCCCGCCGCTGAGTTCAACGCACTACGCAGAACCACAGGCGCTGAGCTCAGACAGCTCCTCAGGAAGGATCGCGAGGTTTGGTGGACACAGCGCGTCGTCGAGATGGAGCGGGCAGCCTCATCAGGAAACTCCCGCAAACTCTTCCAACTTATTCGCTCCACGGGAGGCAGAAGACCAACAGTGAGTGAGGTTTTGCATGAAGATACGGTGAACTAATTCACAGTCGTCACCGTCGTCTGGTACGATAGACAGAGCATTTTGAAGACCAATTCAACTGGCCAGCAGCGCAACCGAGTCTATCTTCCGGGGTTCACAGTGCTCCCTGGTGCGTGAATGTTTCTCCACCGACAGAGGCTGAGGTTTCCAATGAGCTTCGCCTACTAAAGCGCCACAAGTCACCTGGCTCTGATGAACTTTCTCCTGCCCTGTTCAAACATGGAGGTCCAGCTCTAACTCGCGAACTGACATCTTTCTTCCATCAGATTTGGACTACTAAAACCATTCCATCCGACCGGAATATAGCGGATGTTGTACCTGTTTACAAAAAAGTACACCGGACCATTTGCTCCAACCATCGTGGCATCAGTCTCATTTGTGTTGCATCCAAACTGCTCGCTGCCCTACTCTTGCGGAGGCTCAGTTGCGTACGGGAACAGCAGCTGCGTGAACAACAAGCTGGATTTCGCCCGGGTAGCAGTTGCGTCGATCACATCTTTACGATCCGCCAGATACTTGAACATCGCCATACGTTCAGTCGACCAACTATAGTCATATTCTTGGACATTTGAGCCGCTTTTGACTCTGTTGATAGAGTGGCACTTTGGGACTGCTTACTGAAGAGGGGAGTACCTGAGAAGTACATCAGCATTCTCCGTGCTATTTACCATCAAACTTCGGGCCGCGTGCAAGCATACGGAGACATTTCGCCCCCTTTCAGTATCACCAGCGGTGTTAGACAGGGTTGCCCAGCCTCTCCATTCTTGTTCAACTTCGCCATGGACGAGATCCTGGACGCTGCTCTGGATAACTCTGAGCCCTGCGGTGTTGAACTGCTAACTGGTGACCGCCTTCGGGACTTAGAGTACGGTGATGACATCGCTGTGATTTGCGAGTTCTCCCAAGCCGCCCAGCATGTGCTGCTCAGACTGGAGATGTCCGCCGCCCAATTTGGGTTGAGCTTTGCCCCTTTCAAATGCAAGGCCCTAGTAAAGGACTGGCCAAGCGCATGTCCTTCTCTCACCCTTTCGGGGCATCCGCTGGAAGTGGTCGACAAATTCATTTATCATGGGAGCTGTCTTAGTATTGGCGGTTTGACAGGTGAGATCTCTTTGCGTGTCTCCAAGGCTAGTAGCTTTCGCTAACCTTCGTCATCTGTGGCTTCGTCGTGATCTCAGCCTCGCTCTCAAGGGACGAGTGTACAATGCTACGATACGAGCGATTCTGCTGTACGGCTGTGAGACTTGGCCCGTTCTCAAAAGCGATGTTCAGCGGCTATCAGCCTTTGATCACCGCTGCCTGCGAAGCATTGCTGGTGTTCGATGGCAGCACCACATCAGTAATGAGGAAGCTGTCGGCGAGTCTTCAGATCTAACGAACTCCGCCGATCGATTGATAGCATCATTTCACTGCAGAGGCTTCGCCATGTGCTTCGTATGCCTACCCAGCGGCTACAATGACGAGCCCTATTCGCGAGCAAAGGTGTGGCTTGGAAGCGACGAAAAGGAGGGCAATGTAAAACTTGGATCCAATGTGTTAAGGCGCAAACGATGGAGCTGGTTGTTGTCGGGCGTTCCCGATTCCCGGGTTGGGCACCAAAGGACCCCAAGCACACCTGGTTGCAAACGCCGGAGGATAAGGCCAAGGACCGTATGCAATTGCGCACTTGCTGTGAGACTCCTACCCTAACAGTTGTCACCTCTTTCATGTTATCTTTTTCTTCTTATGTGTTGTGGCACTCAGCCAATTATATTGTAATTTGTATAGTGTTGAATATATATATATATATATATATATATATATATGGCCTGACGATCACCAATACTCGGTTTGCACTGAGTGCGAGTGATATAGCAACTTGGACGCAGCCACGGAGTGGTCATGCTTAGCTACGTGTTACATATGTTAGCACGACTCCCGCGACACGCGTTGTTTGCGTCGCCAGGATTTGGATGGTAAAAGAGCAGACACAAACCGAGCATGCCTTAATAGTTGTGTCTCGTATTGCCGAGAATAAACGTTTATTTAGTTATGGGTTAGTAAAGAGGAACGAAGACCCTTACTCCGAAGTTGGTCTCGGTTGGGGCCTTCCGACTCTAGAATTGGGGTGCAAAAGATGAGGAACACGTACGTTTTAATATGCTTGTTGGTGGAGAGAAAGTGACCACATTGGGTTGGTGCTGTGGGTTCCCCTAATTCTCCCATTCTTGTTTCGAGTTTGTAGTTTGTATCATCTACGTTTTCTTTTCTTTTTCCGAATTTCTTACTGCATCGCGTTGCGGCGCATGAGCTGAGGTGTTTCTCACCTCCAGTAAATGTGTAGAATGGTGATAATGATGAGCAGAGTACCCACGCATACATCATTTAGTAAAACAAATTCCTGTGAATAATATACACTGCCAGGAAATGCACAGTCAATCACACAGTTATGCATCAACTAGGTAAGAGCACAATATCAACCGTAAACAAATGATCTGTTCTAACTATGGATGTATCTTCACACACGATGGGAAAGGTGCCTACTATTGTTATTATAACCGTTAGAAAATGCATGACTGGACAGGAAACATTAAAGCATTGGAATGCTGATGAGGAAGTTTGAGGAAATGTGGGATAATGAGCATATGAGCTAAGCCACAAGTAGATATCATTCATAAAGGTGTAACGTGACTCAAGGTGCACATATCCAAAGTCAAAGAAAAGCTTACTTGTTACAACCGATATATTGGTCATGTACTTGTCTTTGTGTTTGGCAGATTCGTCGAAACACTGAAGTACGCCGAGCATGAGTTCTGGATTGCGCTCCTGCTCCACTCGAGGTATGTTCGAAGACATCAGTAACAAACGCCATGCTTCGGGTAGACCCTGCATAACAGAAGTAGGAGGATAGTACCGTCGGTGAAATTCAATGATAGCAATAAAGCATTAAAAATCCAGAAAAGGGAGGCTACGAAGCAGGCGATGAAAAGAACTAAACAGACGATCGAACCCAGAACTACCATCCGGTATGATAAATAAAAAAACGAGAAAATGAATTTTGCAGGTCACCGGGCTAATAAAGGATCACTATGACAGAGGTCAGCATAAACGCGTGAACATAATGCTTCGCTAATATAATTTGACAAGCATCCGCACTTGAAGCAGCTAATTTCAACAAGTGAGGTGGAGAGCGAAGGGACAGTAGGGCAAAGTTGGCTTGTCGCACAACCTCCTCGTGGTGCCAGCCTGGGTGGTTCGGGAGTATCCCGTTCCAGCGAATGGTTCGGCGACAGTGTTCCAGGACGTGGTGGGTTTTCGCCTGGCAAGCGCTCTCCTTATAAAAAGCCACATATGTCCGTTGAACAACACTGTGACGTGGCGGATGTGACTCACCACTAAATAAAGTCACTGCTTCTTGCCTGTCTCTGAGCGGCAGTGTAACTCAAGGGTGCGTTGGGCCCCTGGTCCTATGCTGTCCTAAAGGCGTATGAACCACTTGTTTGGTCACCCGCTTCCAACGGGTTGCGATATCCTCATATCGCTGTGCTGCCTAGTAGTTTAGATTCTGGGTCAAAGGCTCGGGATGGGGCCCCCTAAGACAATCCTCTACTTCGGCCTGAGCGGCCGGGTAGTATTACATCCACTGACGAACCACGGATGGATGTATAATCCACTACTGCTTTCTCCCTTGCTATATCTACTGACTTCACTGTCCCTGATGCTCAACATCAGCTCACAGATCGTCCCATGTCCAGTTTCTCTGCACCTGTCTTCTCTCCAAGCTTCCTTTCATCCTGGTTCTCTATTCGGCCTTGTAGAGTTCAATGTGCGCACTCTGATGAAGATCGGACGACAAGCGTGTCTGGCCCGCACCCTTGACACCATCTCCTTGGACATCTGTTGTCTTTCCGAAACCAGGTTGCAAGAGGCCAGTACCGTCATCAGAATGACATCTCCGACAAACCCTGACGTCAGATACCACTTGCACCTTTCCATAGACCCAGAGACCGACGCTTCCGGCCAAGCTGGTGTCGGGGTTGCACTGAGTGACAGGGTTGAGGTCGCTTTGCTTGACTGGATCCCAGTCAACAGTCGGCTATGCGCAGTCAGACTACGAGGTTCATGTAAGTTAAGTAAGCGTCGAGATGTTACGTGTACTTTGTTTGTCATCTCCGTCTACGCTCTTACAGACTGCAGCCCGGATGCAGTCAAGGATTGCTTTTACCAACAGCTATATGAGCTTCTGCGTTCCGCTAAAAAGTCCGACATTATCATTCTTGTCGGAGATCTTAACGAACGAGTGGGCCACCTGCCACCAAGCGAGCACCATCCTGGGAGTAGTTTTGGCTTCGGTAGCAGCCGATCAGACAATGGAGACAGCCTACTGACTGTATGTTCTGATCATCACTTGTTTCTTCCGAGTACAAGTTTTCGTCATTCGAAAAGGCAGACTGCTATCTGGTGTCAGCCTTTTCAAACACAAGAATGGTCCCAGGTTGACCATGTAGTAATAAGCTACAGAAGGCGCGGAAGCGTAAGACTGCCGATCATACTGATCAACTTGTCTGGACTCCGAGCACGCACTGGTTCGCGCCAAAATTTGCATGCGTTTCGGAGGATCATCCAGATGTACGCACCACTGACCGAACGTCGAAAATCTGCAACATCCTGCGACGTTATCCAAGTACCAGGCTTCTCTGTCAACGTTACTTGCTTCATCTTCTGACGATGGTCTCAATTCGCAATGGATACGTATCAAAGACGCTTTAATTTCTGCCAGTACTGTTAGTTGTGAATTTGCTTGTCACCCGCCGGAAACCTGGATCACCACTGCCTTCTTGTCGATGATGGACAGACGCCGCTTGATCCCAGCCGACATCAGCTGAAGTGAGGAACGCCGATCGCTGGATCGAGCGTTACGTATGAGCTTACAGAAGGACCGTGAGACCAGGTAGTGTGAACATGCTAGAGAGCTTGAACTTGCCAATCTCTCTGGTAATACCAGAAAACTGTTCCATCTCACCCGAGTTACCGAAGGCTTCCGATCAAAAGTAAGCGAAGATGATAGCTCCCTAATCACTGAAGTTCAACGACGGTTGGAGCGATGGGCGGGACATTTTCGCTCGCAGTTTTCCTGGCCTCAAGCTCCATCTGTTTCCTCTGGGGCGCGCACTGGTGATGAGTGGACTATCCCTCGCTCTCACTGGGAAATCTGGCGGGAACTCTGCTGCCTAAAGCGTTATAAGGCACCCGGCCCCGATGGTCTACCTCCTGCTCTATTTAAAAATGGGGGCTCTTAGCCGGTTCGAGAACTCACCGCTTTGTTCTCAGAAGTCTGGTCAAAAGGGGAGGTTCCATCATCCTGGAGGGATTCGATAGGCATCCTCATCTTCCAAAAGGGGCCTGCGCACAAATTGTGCCACAGGGGCATAAGTTTGGTTCCCGCCGTTTGCAAGATTCGGACGTCCATCATACTTTGCAGACTATCCCCAACGCGTGAATCACTACAGCGAGAAGAACAGGCTGGGTCCGGCCTTGATCGCGGCTGCATCTATGAGATTTTCACACTCCACCAGATTCTCGAGCTCCACCATATGTATCAAAAGACAACGATTGTTGTGTTCCTGGACACCCGTGCTGCCATCGATTTTGTCGACAGAGCTGCATTGTGGCACTGTCCGTTGAGGAATGGTATTCCCGGGAAGTTCATTTCCATTCTGCGTGCATGGATATAGTCTGACCTCGCGTAGAGTTAGGGCTTATGGCAAGCTTTCGCCTTCTTTAGTTGTCATCAGTGGGGTTCGACAAGGATGCCCTATCTCTCCATTCCCCGTCAACTTTGCCATTGAGGATGTCTCAAAAATGCTCTAGAAGAGTTGTTGAATGTTGGCGTTGAGCCCCTCCCACGTAGTTGATTTGGAGTACGCAGACGATCTCGTCTTGTTCGGTGACGGTCCGCAGGCCGTCCAACTTGCTTAACCGCCTGGCGATTGAAGTGTCGAAGTATGGCATGCACTTTTCACCATCCAAGTGCAAAGCGCTTTTTCAAGACTGGTATACGCCCCTACCTGCACTCACCATTGATGGGGAAACGTTAGAAGTGGTACAGAGTTTTGTCTACTCGGGAAGCTACATAACTGCTAGTGGGGCTGTTGTAAACGAGATTTCAATGCGTATCTCAAGAGCTCGTCTCGTCTTCTCCAGGCTGAGGCATTTATGGCGCCACCTTGACATCCGTCTCTCCATCAAAGGATGGGTGTATAGTGCCACTGTCCGCGCTGTACTGTTATAAGGTTGCGAGACTTGGCTTGCTCGTACCGATGACCTACGTCGACTGTCAGTCTTCGAGAACTGGGTAAATCGCCCGTGTGTGGTGGCTGAACCACTTAACCAACGCTGAAGTCAGACAACGTGCCTTGGGTGGAGACAGCCACTCTTTCGAGGTGCTTGTCTCGCCGCGCCAACTACGATGGCTCGGACACGTACTGCGTCTTCCGCGTCGTGCCTTGTTCGCGGTCAATGGACAGGTCTGGAGGAGACGGTGTGGTGGACAGCCTACAACATGGAGAAGCAGGATGAAAAAGCTGACAACGGTTGGTTCCTCCCGACTCCCTGGATGGGGTCCCAAGGATGCTGAGTGCAGTTGGTTGGAAACCTTGGAAATCAGGGCTCGAAAACGAACTCAGTGGCAGGAGTGTATCTCTGCTTCTTGCGGTGATTCCCCTTCCATCCTCCAATAAAAACATCAGAAAAACTCAAAAACTGTGAGTGGAAAATGGACAAAAAATTTGTTTGATTTTTTCTTCTTTTACACTAATCCTGTTTTCCTATTCCGCCATGGCCGCGACGGCACAATAGCTGTACACAGATTGTGATATATATATATATATATATATATATATATATGATGCAAATTGTTTAAACACTATTTGACCTAAATGGACTTGATCCCCGCTCACAGTGTGAACAGGGTAAGCAAATGGAAAGCTTGGATGCGTCTCACGGAATGAATACACCGCGGGGGCTGAAACTTGGACGGACAATCCACTAGACAGCCCTGTAACCGACGAACAAAAGTTGGTGTGCTAGCGTGTGATACAGCAGGCGTAACGTGATAGAGTTAGGGACGGACAGCCAGCCAACATGTGCGGAGGGAGTGCGGGCAAAAAGTCCCTAACCAAATGAGTAACGCAAGCGAGACATGTTGCCTGCGGGAACAATCAGGCGAGGTGACAGTGACAAGTGTAAAGTCAAACGGTTCGATAGGCTCCAGGGGCTGAATTCAACTTGTCGTTGGACAAACACGGACCAATTTTAGTTGTCAAAGCAGCAATCCAGGAGCGAGCAAACATGTGCAAGATAATGACTGCGCACGAATGAGTCACGGTGTCGATTCTTCTTTATTCGGGGACAAGGGAGAGAAAAGAAGCTTACCCACATCGGAACTTAGTCTAAAGTGCTGTTTGAATTGCGACCCGGACGTATTGACGAGCTTTAAAGGCTTGTCACCTTAGGAAGGATATTGGACGATGTAATGCTATATGTATGATTAGCAACCAGTATGAGGTCTAAAAGAAGGTGCAACCACGCATCAAGCAAAGTGGAAGTTGGATAAAAAGGGCTCAAGGGCAAAACGGGACATTTGTTGGCGCATTGATAAAAAAATCCGTCGAAAATGTCGGACGAGGATGTCATATGGTTCGCGGATTGGTGTGAGAAGGCGCTGCATTGAGCATCAGCCTGTGATACAATGGTAGTCGAACGTGTACGTCCTTATATCAGTCAACTAACAAGGTGGTCTAATAAAAGCTGCTGTGTTGTGATAAGAATCCAAAACAAAAATGAATCATTGAGTCGAAAATACCGGAACGTTTCCGGTGGTATCA